CCTGGGGTCAGTCCTGGGGTCCCAGGGCACAGAGCAGGCCAGGGGACAGTCCTGGGGTCAGTTCTGGGGTCCCGGGGCACAGAGCAGGCCAGGGACAGTCCTGGGTCACCACCCACGGCCCAGCACAGCGGGGGAGGCTGGAGCTCCCAGCCAGGGATCATTCCCAGTGCCCAGCTCCAGAGTCCTGCCCTGGAGTCCCACACGCAGCTGTGGCTCCAGCAGCCCCTGCCAAAAGCAGCTCCGTGGCCCAGGCAGGGGGACAACAACCTCCTGTAAGTTGGAAAAACATCAGCTGATACCTGGAGGAAACGACCCACTTCCCACTGGGCATAAAGATTCAGATTTGTATAGGTGGTGTTTTGTTTTTTTCCAGTTATAATAAACTTCTGAGGAAGAAACCCAAGTTTTCAGGAGTATTCTAGGAACAGCAGGTGAGTTCTAAATTTCATTTCATACAGAATTAATCCTGCAAGCATTAATTAAAACTTGGGGGTTTTCTTGGTAATTGGAGAGAATAATCTCTGAATCCCTGAGTAAGCCTTGAAAGTAAATAATGTTGAACTGACTGCAAATTGCATAGTTTGAGAGTCTTCACTTGGACATGAAATGAACTAATTTTCTCTTGATCGTTATATGAACACCAGCCTATCTTCTATTTAATAAAAATAAAATTTAATTCACCAAGATTACTAAAACAAGAATTGCACATGTTGAATTGATTTCCAATACAACAGAAAAATACCCAGAGGTTGGGAAGTGTTGTTTTATTTTAGTGGCAGTAGAAAGTTTTAGCTTTTAAAATAAAAATGCCCCCAAACAGCAGCAAGCTGACACCAATGATTCAGCAAAAGGAGGGTGCTGTGCTGCATTACAGGGCTCTGGGGTTGCTGTGACATATAACCCTTGGAGGGACTGTCACAGACTGACACAGCAGGTACCTTGGTCCAAAGAAAATCCCTGAAACACCTTGCAGTATCTCCAAATAAATACTGATACATAGATCTATAAAGTAGGCAAACCAAACAAAAGTTTCCTCCCTTCTCCCTCCCTATGGGTTTCTTCTCTTTAAAAAAAGGTTACTTTTCATGGGTGGATCTCTTTTCTCCATTATTCAAAACAAAACAAAACAAAACAAAACAAGCAAACAAAAAAGAAATAAAAAAAAAAAAAAAAGAGAGAGAGAAGAAAATTAGTTTGACCAGCAAAGTCCACACCCTGTTTCCCTCCACTGAAGCTGCAGATGCTGTGGATTCATACAGCCTAGACCTTCTAAATTGCTGGGACACAAACACCTTAAGAGTCCACCAACAGACTTTGGGATTCCACGTCAGCAAAGTCTTTTTGGGAGCTCTGTGCCACGTTGCTCAGTCAGCACACTGCAAACCCACACATTTGCAAGAGCTGAGTTTGAAAAAGCCCCAGAACACAAAACAGGCACAAGTGTACAGGACCCAGACACTGTCCCACTTGCTCAGGCCATCCAGAGGCTGAAACACGAAGCCACCTCTGATTCATTAACCACACCTTCTTTAATTTCTGTTTTTCTATTTCTAAGCTACCTTCAGAGAGCATGAAGGGGAGGGCAGGCAGTTTTCTGGCAATTTCTTCCTGATCCAGCACATTATCCACAGATAACCATTTTATAAAGTTCATCAGATCTAATACACGCCAAGTGACACCTCCTATTTTAATTGCCAGCTACACGAACCTCAGAGTCATCCCATTACAACCAAAAATTAGAAGTCCACTTACTTGTCAGTCTGAAGTTTCTCCAGCCAAGTCCAGAAGAGCAGTTGCAGGAACTCCAGAACTGTTGCTATCCAGCAAATTTAATATCCAGTGCAATGGGTAAGCTTGTCCAACTCAGCAGAGCCAGTTCTGAAGACCTCACCACCCAGAGACCCACTTTAGACTGAAAAACTGTTAGAAAAGTCCCTGAGTCATCCTCACAGCTGATCTTAATTGAGGCCTGTTACCTTCCAATGGGGCCTGAACACCTGTGAACCTCTCAGTCCTGTTTCTACAGCCTGCAGATTAATAATTCCTCTTTCTGTGCTTTTGATAAATAATGCTGCTCCCAGCACCTAAGGAGCTTCCAGGAGTGCTGGGGAAGGACCTGGGGCGAGGGGCTGCAGTGACAGGACAGGGGCAATGGCTTCCCACTGCCAGAGGGCACCATTAGATGGGATATTGGGAAGGAATCCCGGGCTGTGAGGGTGCTGAGGCCCTGGCACAGGCTGCTGTCTCAGTTTAAGGAGACTGAAATGTTTTGCTAAGGAGGACAAGTTATGAGGCAGACCAAACTCTTCTCTCTCAGCAATTATAAATCCCAAATTGAGAGGCTCCAATCGAGGAAGGATGGAAAAAGAAAAAAATAACAACCCTCTATTAAAGGGCATATGTGTACTGGCAGGACAACAAAAGAACACCAAAAACCCAACTAAACAATAATCCTGTCCCCAAAAGTCCCCTTCAAAAAGGAAACAATTCGATCCTTCCCGTCCTCGGGTGCAATTCCAATAATTTTTGGCAGAGGGCGACACTGGGCTCTGGAGGAGCAGAGCCTGCAGTGCTCGGGGTCGGTCAGCAGGAGGTGCTGTTGGACCCCAGGGGGAGCAGAGCCTGCAGTGCTCGGGGTCGGTCAGCAGGAGGTGCTGTTGGATCATGGAAAAGCAGAACCTGCAGTTGGTCTGTCTTGTCAGCAGGAGGTGCTGTTGGATCATGGAAAAGCAGATCCTGCAGTGCTCAGTGTTGTCAGCAGGAGGCACTGTTGGATCACTAATGGCACAGAGCCTGCAGTTGGTCTGTGTTGGTCACTGTTGGAGGCACTGTTGGATCACTGAAGGAGCAGAGCCTGCAGTTGGTCTGTGTTGGTCACTGTTGGATCACTGGAGGAGCAGAGCCTGCAATGCTTGGTGTTGGTCACTGTTGGATCACTGTTGGATCACTGTTGGATCATGGGGGAGTAGAGCCTGCAGTTGGTCTGTGTTGGTCACTGTTGGATCACTGGAGGAGCAGAGCCTGCAGTGCTTGGTGTTGGTCACTCTTGGAGGCACTGTTGGATCACTAATGGCACAGAGCCTGCAGTTGATCTGGGTTGGTCACTGTTGGATCACTGTTGGAGGCACTGTTGGATCACTGGAGGAGCAGAGCCTGCAGTGCTTGGTGTTGTCAGCAGGAGGTGCTGTTGGATCACTGATGGCACAGAGCCTGCAGTGGTTGGTGTTGGTCACTGTTGGATCATTGGGGAAGCAGAGCCTGCAGTTTTTCTGTGTTGGTCACTGTTGGATCACTGTTGGATCACTATTGGATCATTGGGGGAGCAAAGCCTGCAGTGCTTAGTGTTGGTCACTGTTAGATCACTGTTGGATCATGGGGGAGCAGAGCCTGCAGTTGGTCTGTGTTGGTCACTGTTGGATCACTGTTAGATCACTGTTGGATCATTGGGGGAGTAGAGCCTGCAGTTGGTCACTGTTGGTCACTGTTAGATCACTGTTGGATCATGGGGGAGCAGAGCCTGCAGATGGTCTGTGTTGGTCACTGTTGGATCACTGTTGGAGGCACTGCTGGCTCACTAGAAAAGCAGAGCCTGCAGTTGCTCTGTGTTGTCAGCAGGAGGCACTGTTGGATCGCTGTTGGGGGCACTGTTGGCTCACTGGAGGAGCAGAGCCCGCAGTGCTCGGGGTTGGTCACTGTTGGGGGCACTGTTGGCTCACCGGAGGAGCAGAGCCGGCAGTGCTCGGGGTTGGGAGAAAACTCCTGCCCGCTCCCCCCAGCCCCCAGCCCCAGAGAGGGCCATCAGCCTGGCAGTTCTGCCAGCCAGTTCTTTTGTGTAGGTCAATCACCCAAGGCAAAAACTGCCCTCCCCCATTCAACATTTCTTTTACAGTGGGGCAGGGGAAAGAAAATTCCTATTTGGTGTTTTTATAAAAAGTCAACCTATAACACCACTCAAATCATTCTGGGATTCCCTGGTTCTAACATAGAAACTTCCCAGTTATCCCTGGCCAGTTAACAAGTGCTATTTTATTTTATTTCTTGTTATTTTATTTCTTTTCATTTTTGTCTTTATTTTTCTTTTTTTTTAATTTTATTTTTATTTTATTTCTTTTCATTTTTGTCTTTCTTTTTCCTTTTTTTTTAATTTTATTTTTATTTTATTTCATTTTTTCTTTCTTTTTATTTTTTCCACCTGCCCAGGGCGGGTGGCAGGGACAAGGACAGGGAGCGGGTCCCTCAGCAGTGCCACCCTCAGCCCTGGGCACGGACCACATGGACCGTGAGGGTCCCCCAGCAGTGCCACCTCAGCCCCAGGCACTGGGGACAGACAGAATTCAGGCCACTGAAGTCTCTTCAAGTGCTGAGACGAGGATTTAAAGCAGTTTTTTACTTGCAAACGCAAGAACTGAATGAAGTTGCTTATCCTCGTGTGCTTATCCACGCTGTGCCCTGTCCCATGGTTCAGGTGCAGCTCAGGGGGCACTAATGGGGCTGGGGGTGCTGCCCTCAAACCCACCCCAGGGCATCCACCCCATCCCAGTGTGCCCGCCGTGCCTGCAGAGGGAGCAGCTCCCTGGGGGACTGCTAAGGACAAGTTTTATCTGTCAGCCTTCTGCTTACATCAAAGTTGCCTGAATTCTGCCCAGCGCCGTTTCGCTGGGAAGCAGCAATGTCCCGGAGGGTGCACTGTCAGTCAGACCTCACTCCCTGCATCTGAAGATGATCCCCAGCCTGGATTCTCCGTGTGGGATGTGTCAGAGGGTGAACTGGTACGGGAAATGCCAGGAGGGCCCAGGACTGATGTAATGAGCTCAGTGATTGGGAAATGCAAATCGATTTTGTTTGCTGAGCCCCACAGAAATCAGAAGAGATCATGGCTTCCAGGTTAAAGACCTTTGCTCTACTTTCTGCTGCTCTGAGTTAATCTTTCTCCATCCAGCAGTTGGAGTGACCAGCACAGATAATCTTTAACCACTGGCCATCGACTGACAAGGGTCAGAGCGCTCCCCCGAGGGGATGTGAGCTGGCCCAGCACTCCTACCCTCACTGTGCCCCTGAGACTGTGGTACAGCACTGGGAAATGTGCTCCTTGAATGCTGCAGCAGTCTGGGGTAACCTGAGAAACAACAGCTTCTTCCACTCCCCTGTCCCCACTGACCCTACATGCACACCAGGATCCTCCTCTGTGTCATTTTGCTTTACACATAAAGTTCAGGCTATTTTGATTTTAGTGTAGGGGGAAGAACAGAATGAGAAGTGATTCGGGTCCTGTAACAGAACCCTGACCAGTCACTGACTGATGAGACTGCCTGTGGAAATCTGAATAAATGCCATAACTGGGGGGTGACAGCCCTTCAGAGAGGCTTTCTAAATGGGCTTTGTTGAACATGCAATGTATTGATGGCCAGAATTAACCAGCTCCAAAGGGGGTTCATTCTGTACCACTCCCAAATCTGTGCAGGTCCCTACCACCTGGAGACAAGAGTAAACCAATTCTCCTCGTGGAGCAGTGAGATGCTCATGCACAAAATATTTCTAACCGAAGAATTTCATAATTAAGGTTTTGCAGAGCCAAACCATAGCTCCTTCCTGTTTGTTAGATCTTCCCAGTGTGAAAAACCTCCTAACACAGCCCGATTTTTGCCCCTGTGGTGAGTTATTCCTTCAGTTTTGGAGCTGATCTTTCACTGTTTCCACACAGAAGAGACATCGTCCCGCATATTTCTATTTAACTCATCATATCCTCCACATTTTGCATAAGAAAAATGAGAGGAAAGAACTTTTGTATGGATTAAATTGTGTCTTTTGTCTAGTGACACCTTACTCAGCAGGAGCTCTGCACATGAACTGGAATCCAAGAATAATTGAGGCTGGAAGAGAGCTTTGGCTGTCACAGGACTTGGCCCTCTGCTCTGAGCAGCACCAGCTTCAAAGTCAGACTGAACTGTAAAGTTCCATGGTTTTGCTGGTGGTTATTTCTACACATTTCCAAGGCAGGAATCTGGCTCTGGGGTGCATGGGACACATTGCATTATCTGTCCCTGTGTCACCTTCAGCAACATTTAAACAAACCGTTTCTTTTTCCAGGAATTTCCAAATCCTTTGGCATTTAATGTCAAAGAACTGGGCCCAAGGCAATCTGCAGCAGTGCTGGATGTTGCAATGCAGGTCCAGCCCCTCCCCAGGCTCTGTGTGTAGTGGCCAGTGCTTCACCTCCAACTGCAGAGCCCCATTTTGAGGAAACCTGGGGTTTTTTTCCAGAAACACAACCCCAGAAATATCAAGTAAGTGGTGATTCCTCTGTGATTAAAAGTATCACATTTTAGTGTTCCTGTGCTGGTTTTGGACAACATCTGGTGTTTTGGGGTTGGTTTGGGGTTTTGTTTTTTTTTAATTTGAGGTCTTTTGCCCTCTTTCCTGATTAATTGTACAGGTAACTTTTAGATACATATTTTTCTTATTTTTCTACTTTTAGGGCAGACTCCAAGTTAGTATGACTACTACTGCTGCTCCTCCTCCTCCTCCTCCTCCCCATAAACCTGTCATCTTTACACATCCCAAAAGAGGGACATTCCACCCCAGCCCCTGCTCATGGAGGGGTTTCTGAGTACACCAAAGGCACAGGGTCACACCAAGGCTGAGAGCACCATCGAAAAGCCCAGCTGTGGGGACTCACACCACGCTGCTGGGTGGACACATCCAGCCCAAATCAGTAAAGTGGCCTGCTTCCTCACTTTTGTGAGGTATTATATTGAAAACTTTACTTCTTAAAACCCCACGCTTACTTCAGCCTGTTCTAAAATATTCTAATGTAACACAAGCATGGCAATGGAAGTAAGCAATGAAATAGCCAGTTAACCATCAAAGGTTCTAATTCTGAAGGTGTGACTTTAATTTGCCTTCAGGGAAGATCTCAGGTTCAAATCCCATACTAGCCTTCACAAAAAATGTGAAATGTATTTTGCATTTTTCCCTCCCCACATGTGCTCTCTGTGAAAGAACAGAGAAACTCGAGGTCTCAGAGCTTTTTTTCCATGCCTTAGTCTGACTAAAGGTGACTGGCTCAGCACAGCAAGGGCCATCTCCCTCCCCCAGATCAATATTTTAATATGGCTTATCAGAGCAAGAATGGGTTGTTTATTTAAGACCTCAGGATCCCATAAAGGGAGAGGGAAAGTTGTCACTGGACCCAGAGGCTTGCAACAGCTGACCACTGCTGGGAACTCGGGAAAGAAAACCAAGACCCCAATGATCCCAATACGCTGACAGTCAGCAAAATGTCCTGCACGAGAACCCCCGTTTTGCCAAGCCCTGTCAGCACTCCAGAGGATCCTTTGGCAGTTGTCTCTGAGGGTAAGTGCCTTCTTGTGCTCCACTTGTGGGAGGAAAAGGAAATGCTAAAAGATATGAACCAGCTAAACCAGTGCAGGTGGATTTGAACACAGCAAAATATCTGCATGTGCCCGAGGCCCACCTGGGTAATTTAACAGGATTCAGTGTCTTGGACCCAGAGATCTCTGCCTGCCCTCATTAGGGCAGCATAAGGCACCCCAAGTGTTTATTGTTTAAGAAAAGGGGTGATGGGGAAGCTGACAGACTTCCCAGGGAAATAGGAATGCTTCAGGTCCGGACATACGGAAGGACAGGTTCTGTGATCCACCTCAAAAAACCCTCTTGAAAAGCCTCTTGTTCTTCATAATGATCCTCTCAATTGAAACATTCTCATAATGTTCTTTACACAGATGTCCAGCAAAAGAAAAGCAAAAAAAGGGATTATTTTTCTCTGACGACTACACTTTGCTTTCTCCCTGCACTGACCTGTAACTTTCCCATGGCTTTGGGGTTTTTCTTCCCTTGCAGTTCTAAAAACTAGTGGCCATTTCTCTTTCTTCCATTACCTCTTGTCTTGGAAATATTCATGTTGAATTGCTGGAAGCTTCCCTGTAGCTGTGGGACTATAAACTGCCTGCTTGCAGCTGCCCCAGCTGCCTGGCTTTCTCCTGCCATACACATTCTGCAGCCTAGAGCCCTTCCACCAGGCTCTCCTGCTCTGCCCAGGATTGCCAGGCTTTTCCTCAGAGAGCTTCATTAGAATAAAATCCTGTCTGACCTTCCCTCTCTGCTGCAGAGAGAAAGCTGAGTAAAATGTGCACGAGGAAAGAGGGAAAAACACTAATACTGAGATAAATTAGAAAGCTGGGTACAGCACCTCCGTCCTCCTGGCATTCAATTCTCATTCCCAGCAGCTACAGCACAGGCACAGTTACCAAAAACAGCCCCACGGGCCTCAGGGCTGCAGCTGCATCCTGAGAGAGTGTTCTGGACATGTCCAGGTGTTTGCCCTCATTAACTGCAAAGACTTGGTGCCATGTGATGCTCAGGGTGTGCTCCAAGGCCTCTCCTCCTTCCAGAGACATCTCCTTCATAGCTGGGATGGTACTGGAGCCTGAGCTGTGGATCTGCACACCTGCCTGTCCTCTGTGTGTGCAAACACTCAGCTCTGTCCCACTGCAGCATCACAGACTCCAACACAGACACATCAGCAGAACAGGACAATCTCCTAGAGAAGGGTCAGCCCTACCCAAGCACTTCTAGGCTTGTTTCCGTGGCAGGGATGGCAATGCCAGCACTGCTGGAATAATCATGTTTGAGAAACCAAACAGTCTGGCCTGGTAACCAGGCACTGAAGGGCCATTTCTCTGCTGTTCTGTTCACCAGCCCAGGGCACTCAGGACCCAGCTCACACTGCCAGCTCATGGCACTGAGTTATCACAAACCCTTCCCTGAGGTTTGATTAGGCACAAATCAGGAGTTAAACTGATCCAGAGCCCTAATGAGTTTGCACTGACCTTTCAACACTGGTTGAACTATATCATGATCAAGAAAAAGATCCAGAACAAATTCTCCCCAGGATGTAAAATGAGAATGCACTACTGAGTTAAAAGTAAATGAGAGGGACAGTTGAAAAGACATCCCAACCTCACCACTTGGCACAAGAAGATAACTCCATCTCCTCGCAAAGGGTTTCCAACCTGTCCACACATGATGAATCAGACAGTTCAAATTTCAGTAGCTACCAAAACCAAAGGCGACTCCAGCCCTGCCTTGTATGTGGGTTACTCAAAAATGCTGCTAAAAACAAGTATATGAAAATCAAATATAATCTCTAGCAGTGTGATTCCTCGGCTCTGACACAGCCATAAAAGTCTGGTGCTGATTCTGAGCTGTCTCCATCAAGAGAAAGACACAGGTCCTTGCAGGACTGACTCATCCCTTCCTTCAGAAATTTGTGTCTAGGACAGCAGAGATTACTTTCTCCAGGTGTCTGTCCCTCTCCCTTGCCTGTGAGGGCACTCTTAAAGCCCCTTTGACATTGCTACGGCTGGCTGAGGCAAACTATTCCCCTCAAAGCAATTTGGAACCCTGGGTCCCAATTCCTTGTCAGAATCCTGATGTGTCAGGTATAAATGTCCATAAACACGGTCTTGTCTCTGTTTTGCAGATCTCTGAAAGCCCCCTTGCTGAAGTCTGCAGAGTGCCTCCAGCACCCCTGCCACGGGCCCAGGACGTGCTCCCAGAGCTGTGGAGTGTGACAATGGTGTTTGTGTCCAGTCTATCAAACGCCATTATCACACTAAATAGCTATGGGTAGACAAGGCATCAGGTCAGGAAGCTCTGGGACCTCTGGCACTGCACCTGCCCACTGTGCTGAGGAATAAACAGCCTGGGTGCATGTACAGCTTGGGATTTTCTTTCTCCTGTTGGACTGACCAGGACAATAGAAAACTGAAGCCAATTAGCTGATGAAGTGAAACTGTCTCTTACTTTGGTACCAAACCACAACATAGGTTTGGAATATTCACTGAGGTGCTCGTGACAACCTTCAAACACTTTCTAAAATTCTGATTAAAATCTATTGCCTCTAACTTGAAACATCATTTATCCAGGTTCCACATGCTTTCAGCTTTGCTCCCTTCCATGTCACAATGATTTGAACACCACACCCAAGCCCGCTGCCTTATGTTCTAAACCTTAATATTCACAGCACCCAATGCCTCTCCAGTGTGTATTTGTGGAACAGGAACATGGTTCAGTGCTGAGCTTTCAGCTGTGCAAAAAGGAAAAGGTGTCAGGTCCTTGGTGAGAAGGTGGAAGGGGAGGGCTGGGCTGACCCACAGCACAAGGCCAGGCCCTGTCCCTCGTCTGCAGGGAGCAGATAAACAAATTGCAAAGACTGATGTAGTGGGCCAGATCCAAAAATTCTGGCCCAGACTGGGCACCTGTAAGCCACTAATCATCAACACTCCCCAGTGACATTGCTCTGCCAGCGCTGCAAAACAAGCATGGTTACTTCAGAGGGAGCTGCTTGGCCACATGCAGACTCCAAACCTGTTCTACAACAGGACAGGTGCAAGCACAACAGTACTGTCACATCAGGGTGTAGACTCAAGGAAAGCAAGGAATTCAGTGGAGAATCACAGAAGTTGCCCACCTTCAAGCTGATGATGTGGCTTTGTGAGGACCATAAAGGTGCTGATTTGGGGGGGCAGGAGGGGAATTAGAAGACAATCATGAATGGCTTTGTTTTTTAATACAAGACATGTAAGTGGGAGAAAAAAATGACAAGAGTAGAATCATAGTAGGATTATAATATGCAAAAATCTGGGAAAGAAGACAATTTTTCTATAGCAGCCTGAGCAATAATACTGTGCAAAACTTGTACTAAGTGGCATCTTAAATATATTGATGCTTCCCTAGCAGTTGAACCCACAGGGCCATGGGTACAGACACAGAGAAGGGAAGATGTTCTTCAGTGAGCTGTGCTGCACTCAGAATGTGGAGATACCAATCCACAGAACGGCTGTAAAATAACCCAGAGATGGCTTAGTTTGTCTTCAAAATCTTGCCCCAGTGTTAAACCTCAGGAACCAAGAGCACAGAATCAGCTCCTTCCTTTGTTCCTGACATCAGCATCAGGATGACTCCAAAACAATGTCAAAAGGCAAAAGACCAGAGTTACCCCCTGAGGCCACTGGTGCCTGTCAGCGCTCCATGTCCTCGAGAGCAGTCTCACCAGGTGGGACACTGTGACTCAGTGCTCTGAAGAAATGAAGTCTCTGTGTTCTCTGGCCTTCTTGGGCACCATTTTCTTTACAGTCGATGAGCTGGGCAGGTTTTTGCTTTTCGTGGACGTTGCTTTCCTCTGTTTTTGATGAGTGGTTCGGAGGGATTTCAGCCCCAGCATCTCACAGTACTCATTGCACTGGTGCAGGGCTCTGAACTGCTCAATGAAGGAAAACGAGCAGTTGCCTTTAAACCCTTTGTATCTGTAGCAACAAAGAACAAAACAGCCAAATGGGATTTCAAGATTCAGTTTCAGCACAGGGAGGCAGAGCATGGTTTCTGACTCACAAGCAACTTGAAAACCTTAGGCAAGTCTCCTCCACCCAAGCTGGCTCGAGAAGCACTGATTGTCACAAAAACTCAAACTGAGCCTGTGAGAGGTGAAGGGAACTGGGTTACAAGCAGTGACAGAAGAGGGAAGAGCATTACAGAGGCAAAGCTCTGTGGGCTGGGTCCTGGCTACTGTTCCTCATTACATTTAGTTGGGAATATAATTGTCTGCTGGCTATTTTTGTCTCAGTAACACACACGTGAAATCCACGCTACATCATTCTCTGGGCACAGTTGTGCTGACCCCCATGAGGAGATAAGGTTGTTGCACGAGGTGTTATCAGAACCAGAAGCTATTTACATACTTTTCTTATGAAGTAAATAAAAGCCTGTCTAAACAGCTTTGCTGTTTGTGTTTGGGACTTGTCAATTCCTGCGTGTCTTTGAAGGAACATCTGCACAAAGAGCAGAAACAATAACACTTGCTCAGACACTTCAAATGCATAATTGAATGGTTTGCTAACTAACTTTAGCTTTAGAATTCAACAAATGCCAAAAATATTTGCAGTGTAAGTAAGAGCATGAGTATCTTGCAAACAAGAGACGGAACATTTATATTAAAATCACATGATTATTTTGATTTACTAGCTTTGCTCCTAAATCAAGCCACCCTCATTTCCCTTCTCTAAAATAGTTGGTTTGCATTTGATCTGTGGCTACAGCGGTGCCCCAGGTAAGGCTCCCTGTCCCTGTGGGACCTGTGAGGCACAGGTGAGCCTGGTTTTGCTCTGCAGTGTGCAGACAGCCCCAGGGCTCACAGCAGGCCATGGCAGAACTAAGCTACAGATGTGGGACCACAGGTTTGCATGAGTTCTCCAGCTCTGTGCTCTTTGTTAGGCACTGCTCCCCCCAGCCCCATGTGCTCCCAGACACAGTGTTTGTTCTGCACAGCTCCAGTGACCCTCTGCTCGTGTACAGTTCCAATCTGGCTCACCGCGTGCACTTAGAGCCAGGCACTCGGCTGGGTTATTTTCTTTCTGTTCGCCAAAGAAGCCACCGAATGGCTGATTTTAAGGCTCAGCTGCCTGGCTCTGGTGCACCCCAGTGGCCACATTAAAAACGCTTCCCAGGCGTTCCGGTTCCTAGCTCAGCTTCGCCCTCTCCTGACATGAGCATTGGCTACACGGCTCTGCTTTGGGCAGAGTAATAAAGGTGTTTCCATTACAGGTGGGTCTCCATAAATAGGAACAAAAAGAAGTTAAAGACCAGATGAGGATTGTTTTCTTCTAGGTTTAAAACAAGACTAAATTTCCAGTGCACCCTCCACACCCCCTTTAACTGTGAAGAGACAGGTGTGTAAAGCACAGCCCCACGCTGAGAACTGTGAAGAGACAGGTGTGTAAAGCACAGCCCCACGCTGAGAACTGTGAAGAGACAGGTGTGTAAAGCACAGCCCCACGCTGAGAACTGTGAAGAGACAGGTGTGTAAAGCACAGCCCCACGCTGAGAACTGTGAAGAGACAGGTGTGTAAAGCACAGCCCCACGCTGAGAACTGTGAAGAGACAGGTGTGTAAAGCACAGCCCCACGCTGAGAACTCCCTTTCACTCACCCTTTGGCCAGGGTTGCTATGCCAACGTCCGTTAACTTCATCCCCACACCTACAGGGCAGAAGGAAACACACAGCTCAGGTTACACTGGAATTTCTGGGAAGAGCTTCAGATCCATTATTTATGGATTCACCTTTTCCATTTTAATTATTTGTCACATTTTTTCCAAAGCATTTTAAGTGCCCCAATTAAAAACAGGATGCTTATGCTCTGTGTCACCAGCAGTTTCTAAAAGTCAGGCTCATACACTATTTTATGGCTGTCAGGGTGATAAACAGAGCACAGCTTGTTTCCTGTGCTAAGATTTTGTTCTTTCTTCTCCCTTTAAATTACTTCAGGGATCTTGTTTAGATGCCTTGCTGCTAATTTTCCTGCCTTCTCTTGTAAAAGAATATGGGATATTTTCTAAGATTCCAAGTTTTTCTGGTTAAGAAGGGCCTGTCTCCCCCAGTCCCAAGTGCTTCTGTGCACACTGTGCAGGTGGAATCACACCCACAGGAGCTGAGGGAGGATTTAGCAAACACAAGCAGGGCGTTTCTTCACTGTTCCTCTTTTTCAGGGAACATGTTTTTTCAAACCTGGTCAAGACCTGAGTGTGGAGCATTCCACTGCTCAGGGGTTATTGGTGAGCAAATACAAGAAAAGGGGAAGGACTGGGTTGTCATTAACACCTGAAGGCTTTCACTCACAAGCCATTTCCTTAACCTCTGGGTGGTGAGCCAAAAATCCAGATTTGACTCATATTGAGTGTCCTGATTCACTGAGGGCACACATGGAAGAACAACTCTCCCCTTAAGAGTGTAAGATTTGTTTTTCTCTTCAAAACTGTCTTCTTACAAGAACGTAAGGTAGGTAAAAAATTGCTCCTCCCCAGGCAACTCACCTTGCAGGTCAGTGACAAGCAAGTTCCCACTGGTCTTCTCATACACCCAGTGCTGGAAGGTGCAACACTTCTGGCCAGCCTCAGAGTCCCTTCTCAGGAAGTTCACTTCCTTGCCATCCTTGACAGAGTATTTCACAAACTCCCCAACGAGCTCCTCCTCCACTGTGGCATAGGGGATGTTATTAGCAGGGCGATGAATAAGAAAAATCGGAATGATCCTGAAATCAAGGGATAGAAACTAGTAAAATTCAGAGAATTCTTTCAGTGGGAGAATAAGGAACAGACAAAAGTGTGCAGTAATCTCAGAGAGTGAATGAACAGTCTAAAACAAGCCAAGAGAGCTGTAACACTGTTCCCAGGTTTCCTCTTCAGTAAATACTCCTAGCAGTCAGTGGGCTGCCATGGCACAGGACACTATATATAAGCATATAGGTATATAAAAAGCTACATATACTCACTCTGGTACCTCCCCAAAGCCTGCCAACGTTTCAGCTTCAGCTGCATACAACTTGGCATACTCTCTTGCAGCATTTTGGACACAGCACTCCTGTGTTACAAACAGATACACCAATGGAGTACTGCTCAGAACACCTCACAGCTCATCTGTTTGAGGATGTTCGAGCACAGTTCTCCCCCCCACCTCCCCGAGGCCAGGGGCAGCTCACCTGCAGGGCCAGGTTGTAGTTCTTCTGCACGAGCTCCTCCCTGCTGCCGGCGCCGTGGCTGAGGGCGCTGTGCACCTTGAGCACGCAGGGGTGGCCGGGCGCGAACACGGGCGCCAGCCCCTGCCTGACGCGGCTGCGGAACGCCCGCCGGTGCATCCCCTCCCCGAAGTGCAGCTCCTCCGTGGCGATCACCCCGCGCAGGTTCCCGCCGAAGTAGCTGTCGCTGATGGAATCTCCCCGGAACAGCAGCTGCATGAACTCGATTTCTTCCACGCCTGAAACACAACGGGAATTCGTTCTGCAGGCACGGGGGGATGTGGGAGAGCGAATGCATCTCTCCAGAGAGCATTAAAAAATGCTTCATGGAAGCAGAACATGTGGCCTAACTTGTGTTACTGGGGGCTGGGCCCCTGCTCCTCGAGTGGTAACTGCTTCACTGCCATCTAAACCCAGTGGGGAGCAAGGTGGCAGCTCAGGGTCCTAAGGACAGAATACACAGCGTAGAAAACAAGTTTGTTACAGTTGAAATCGGGGAAGACTGTGGATTTCACCCCTTTAAATGATCACTGGAATCCAAATGGAAAAATACTCATGAGGGGGAAAAAAGTGGTTAAGCACTTAGAGAAAGTAAGAAATTCTAATGGCACTTCAAGTGTCTCTAACCACAACATTCCAGGAAACATCAGTGAAGAAGATAAATGGGAGAAGAGAACTACAAGGAAGTCCTTCCAGCTGGCCCTTGCAGTCACCTCTGGTTTAGGCTTGTACACTACTGCCTCTCTTTGAAGCACTGAGGAAACAGTGCACAGAGAAGACCAGAATTAGGACGCCCCTTAACTCCACCTAAAAGTCTCTCTTGATCAAAAGTTATACAGTCCTGTTACCTGAAAAGTCCTGTCTTTATTTACACAAGGAAATGAATGTTTCATTTTATTCTTTGAGAAACAGAAAGCAAACTCAGTGGGCCTGCTGGAGCCCATGATCACTGCAGGGTGCTGAGGAATGACAAAGCCATTGGCAAGGCACTATCTTTAGCTGCAGCACAGCACACAGGCTGAGTGTCACTGAACATGAGCTAACATGTGGGGAAAGCATTCCAAAGCTTCATGGCTGGCTCTCTCCTGGAGTACAGTTACACAGCAGGGGACCTGCAAGGACCCAGAGCTCCCAGTGCTCTGTGTGTGTGTCTGTGGGATGCCAGGCACTTCACACTTACCTTCATAACTCTGAAAACTGGAGAGACGCTCCAACACTACAGGGAAACAAAGAAATTGATTTTGTAGCAAAAACTGTGAATGGAAGCTGACATTATTAGTAATCCAAATGAAAAATGGAGGTTTACCTGCAGCAGTCAGATGAAACTCAGCAGTCACCTTTCCAAACGTGTTACTCAGGCAGCAATAATACATCCCCTGGTCTTGGTTACTGGCCTTAGCTATTTCCAGAGAGACAGGAGAGTCATCCTGAGCACTGCAACAGAGTATTTCATGTTATCACACGTTACTTGTTATCTCTGGAAAAACTGGTAAATTCGATCTCTCTGCACTGTTTGTTAAAACACAGCTAAATTATTTAGCAGATAATGATATGTATTAACACTACAATGGATATTGCAGTATGACAATCAAAATCACAATAGTTAAAACAGAATCAGAATGACATGGGAAGTTTAACCAATACAGGCAACTTTTTCTCTCCACTTAAAAGAACCTCTGAGGAGACACCTTTCTACAAAAGGAAATACATATTACTTTTTCTTTGGCTTTGGGTAATATTAATTTTGTATTTTTGAAACATTATGAAGAGATTTTAAGAGCTACATGATCAGAATGTCATTACTGCTATGGAGGAAAATAACTAGTTTCATTAAAACAGAATTTTAAAAGCTGGATCCTGATAATGGCCATCCTCCTCTAGATTAAATGAGTTTCAAACTTAATTTGATATTTTAAAGTACTTGAAATTTGGATGAGACTGGATGGGAACAGGCTGAGAGGTGATGGAATGCAAAGTATGACCAATATCAGTGCACTGGGAGATCTGCTTCTTAATTACCCTGTTGAAACTTGGGGTTTGCACCTACTGCACTAATCCTCTCAACAGGTACAAGAGTGAATCCCTGGCACATCTTCCCAAAAGCTATTCAGGAACTCCCAGTCCTTCAGAAACATTCACTCACCTTCTCTGCAGCCGAGCCAGTATCTTGGAATCTTTAGTCCATGTAATGGTGGAGTCACCATGAATGTCACCAAACTGACAGCACAGCTTCACAGTTCCAGAGCATTCAGGGAACAGCTCTGCTTGGATCTTCTTCAGCAGCCTGGGAGCTGGAAACAGAAGAGCCACAATTAAGGATTAGAAGATAATGACATTGTTTTGGCATTTTAACATTTCATGTTAAGAATATGAACACCGACAACCCTGGTAAATAATTGGGACTGCTTGTGCCTGAATACTTTTAACTAGTAGATTTTTTTAGCTGACCACAGCCTTTGGGAGAAAAGACTTTAAGTCCCAGGAGGTGAGGAGTCTCCAAGGTGTTCCTGGAACATACCTAATACCCTGCCAGGCTGGGACTCTGCCTGGATGGCCCCATTTCCTGTAAAACACAGCCCTGTGGAGAGCCCACAGCAGCTGAATATTTGCATCTGGCAGTGTCAGTGGTCTTTGCTCCCCTCTTCACTTTCAGAGGATCAGTTCCCTACCTTCGCAGCCACAGGGCATGGTTCTTTAGCTAAACACTGACCATCCAACAGCACTAATCCAAGAACCCCTCAGAGCACTCTGCCCAGTCCAGAAGGGTCCTGCCAGCCTGGATCTCTGCTAGGACCTTTCACTGCTCACACACTGCTCCAGTGTCCTTGCACGTGGGCTGAGCAGGAGGAGGGAGGGGACTTGGGAAGAAAGGGAATCGACATCATAGGGAAAGGTTTTGGGATCATGACACATCCCTGTGCTCAAGTGACACATGTAAGAGATGCAAAATGCAAGACGTTCTGTTTCCTCCTGTGGGAGCTCTGAGCTGCTGAGCTCTGAGTGAGCTGCCATGGCACATGGCCCTCGGGGATCCCGGCCCTGCAGTAATACTGAAGGAATGCTGGAGCCAGCTCAAGGGCTCAGGCACCTGGAATTCAACGCTATGGTTTTCTTTCCCCATTCCCGATTCCAGCCCCAGTCCAGTCTAGGAGTTCCCCCACTCCAGATCCTTGGCACAGTCCAGTCCAGGTTTCCCCCCTCTTCTCAATTCTGGCCACGATCCAGTCTGGGTTTCCCCGGATTCTAGCCCCAAACCAGTCTTATCTGATGCAGCCTGAAAGTTTAAAACATTGTTCAAGCATAGCCTCAGGTAAGGGAAACAGGTCAGGCATTGCTCAGTCACCATTGTTTGGAAGGAACCTGTCTCTCCTCCCACACATTTGGTTTTTAAAATGTGATTAGAAAAGCAGAAGTCTCCCCAGACTGCACTGTAATTCGAATGTCTGAAAAGCTTCACAGCTGTGTAACTTACCTTTAGCCACTGTTCAGTCTTGCTCTGATCTATTAAATCATTTTATGATGTGAACAAGAAGTATGCAAGAAGGTGAAAATAAGATCTTGGTCCTTGCAAAGTATCCATAGAAACAACAAATCCCTCATCTGCCCAGCTGTCAGGCTGCTGCTACTCCTGTCTGCATGGTGTTTTACTTGTCAGCAACCTCCCAGGCACTGACAGCAACCTGCATCTCCTTTCAATGACATGTTTCCTATGTCAGTTTAATATTGCTTATTTCCTCGGTGTCATTTCTGAGCAGTGGTAACAGGAATGCAGAACCAGCCAGCAATCAGCAGGTGAGGACTGCAAAGAATTATGTTTATCAGGGGCACCCTGCTGCTAACAATAATACTTTGATAGTAATAAATCTCGTGGTAACCAGGAGGGGGCAGTTGCAGTTCTGCTCCTACACTGGGAGCCACAGTGTAGGAGCATAACTGGGAACACAGCCCTGAGGGAACAGAACAAGCACTGGGCTTGCAGCTCCTACATGTGTGTAATTATATGGTACCATCACGCTGTACATCCCTGAAAAGTTACTCCAGGAGACCAGTGAGGCAGTGACTATTTCAAACAGGTTACAAAGGTCATAAACTGAAAAAGGATGTTCAGGAGGGTTCAGCCCTGTGGCATGGGCACAGCACCCGTTACTCAGTGCACAAACCTGGGAACAGAACTCCAGGAGGGCAGGACACCTTCAGCTGACTCAGACTCCAGGAGGCTTGCGGTGCATTTCAAGAATCTGAATTTCACACGGTAGCCAGAACAGTAGGAAAGGACAGAAAAGAAAATCAGTTTTCTCTTACCTTTGCTATCCTTTTTCAAAATGAGTTTCCTTTGCTCTTTTCTATCTTCTTTCCGAGTCACGCCTGCCTCGCTCTTCCCAGACTTTTTAACGGAGCTGGGATCCTTGCTGACACTTCCCTTCTCCTCCAGTCGGGGCTTTTTGGACACAGTTGCTGATGGTAATTTCTTCTTAGCTCCAGCAGCTAAATGCCCACCCTTTGCTGTGTCCTGTTTACATTTGATGGGCTCAGGCTCTGCAGCAGCTGGTGGTGCCTGGCAGGATTTGGACCCTTCCTGATTTCTTTGCCTTTCTGCGTTGACTGGGAATGGATCACACGTGGCCAATGCCAAGGAGAATGGCTGAGCTCTGCTGCAGGGGGTTTGCTCTCGAAAACACTGGTTGCTCCCTGAACCTACTGGTGGCAAATTAACTAAACCACTTACTACACTCTCTGCTGTCCTGACTTCCTCCTTATCGTGTTCAGTGGACTTAATTGAATAATCAGTTACCTTGCTGGAGGGGATCAAGTCAGGGCAGGACTGCTCTGTGCTAGTATTCATAATCTGTCTCTGAGCCTGGGAGCTAATTAAAGTGTGCAAAGGAGCCTTTGTTTCAGCTCCATCTGAGTTACATTCAACAGCTCTTGGACTCTCGTGTGCATTTTCACACAAGGTTGCTTCCCCCTCGGTCTCTCCAGGTACCCTCTGGAGCAGATCCTGTGATGCTTTGCAGTAAGTTTCCAGCACACTCAAGTTTCTGTTTCCTTTGACTCCAGTGGGTGTGGATCCAGTTTTTACCTGAGTTCCAGTGCCAGGACACGCCACTGCTGCTGAACTGGGAAGAAGGCCCTCTGAGTGGCTGGCAGGTGTGAGGAACAGCAGTGTTTCTCTCCCAGTCAGTGGCTGGGAATCTGACTGATGCCCCATACTTTGATCCTTTTCTGCTGTGCTGTGGTGCTCACCTGGAGCCTTCCTGGGCAGCAGGGGACTGGCTGACGTTACACTTTGGGAGGCACAGGTGGGATATTCTGAAGAATCTATTTTTAACTCTTCATCAGGTTCGAAGGTGCTGTCAACAAAAAATAGGTGTTGTTCTGCTGTATAATGAGGGGACACTGCAGTCTGACTCCCTGAAACCTGACTAACTCCTGACTCACAGGAAGTTTCAGCCCTGTGTTCATCAGCTGTGTAAATCTCTCTCTGTTCTCCTCCTGGTTTACCTGGTTCACAGCTGGGCACTTCTAGATAAAAATCGCTTAAAAGCAGATCCTTGGAAGAGGGAGTGAATGCCCCTTCTTGTTTTGCTATTTCTGCCAGTTGGTCTGTATTTTGGGGTAGATTCTTATGTGTTATGGTTTCAGGAGTCTTAATTAAAGGAGGCAATTGCATTACAGAACGGTATTTCTGTGCATTAGAAACAACCTGAAAATCCTGACAGCCATTAATTTTTGAAAGATGGCAACCATCAGAATTAGTGTCATTTTGTGCATTCAAGTCTGAGTGATTTCCTCCTTCTTGTAAATTCACTTCATAACTTTTATGTATGGTGTTAACAGAAGAGTGTTCTGCATGTGTAAGCTGACAGGTATTTTCACTGGGGAAAATGTCTTCAGGGAAATAAGCCAGTCCTCCTCTTGCTGGATAACAGTCCCTAAAATGACAGCCTTCTCCAGGTACAGACTCATTTATCCAGGGTATGTTGTGTTCAGCATGAAGTAACTGTCCAGCTGTCCCATACAATGTATCTGACACATCAGCTGGGTTTGCTTTGGGATGTGCTAAATTACCACTCTGAGCACTCTGTAACCTTTGGGGAGAATGTGCTTCACATATTTGGGAAGCATTATTAACAGTGAGCTTTCCTTCCCAAGCCACAGTGGATCCACTCCTGTCTGTTGGCCTTGGCTTCCAGCACTCCCCTGGGCTCAAGAGGATGCTGTTTGCTGAGGTACAAATGGATGGTGTCTCCATCCCATTTCCAGCACCAGGATCTACACATGCACCCTCTGTTCCCACCACCTGTGCCAGACAAATGTTTCCTCTGGATGCTCCCTTACACACTCCAGCTCTCAGAAGGAGGGCATCAGAAACACTGCAGTCAGCTTTCCCAGTGCTGAGGTGACTGGCTGGTTCTGTGAGGGGTTCCTGCTCTTCCATCAGATCCATTGGCAAAGGATCACCGGAACAGCTCTCCTGCACAAAGTTCAGTTCCCTAACTTTGACATCTGTCGGCCTCATTTCCAAGCTTGTGATCCCCCTGTCTGCAAACGGGATTTGACAGTCTGAGTCATCTCCATGAAGAAGTTTCCACAGCTTGTCATGCACTGCAGATATATCAGCATCTCCTTTGCACCCAGGTTCTCCAGATTCCAGGACTGACTTGGGATTAGCTTCGAACGCAAGCTCATCACCTGATAGGCCACAGTGAATATCTGGGTCACTGCTACCATGTATGTCAAACCCAGACCTTTGCTCTCCCTCTCTTGGCTCATCACACAGCTTTGCAGAAGAGAGAACAGCACACAAGCGTTCCTGTTTATCAGGAATAGAGTCTGTACCCCATAAAGGAAAAGCTGAAATGTCATTCTTTGATCTGTTGCCATCACTAATAATTTCTTGTCCAGAGAAGAGTTCTTGGTGACGACCTTCCCTCTTATCCCAAGGAGCACAGTGTAGAGAAGAAGTCTGTAAATCTGCATTCTTTGCTTGCAGTGTGTTCTCAGTAGAGAGCATTTCTGCAGCTGGCTGGCTGGTTCCCACACTCTCACAGGCCCTGAGGATGCCTTCTGTTTTGGGCTCCATACAGAGGTTCTCACAATTCTGGGTAACACTTTTAAGATTAGCACCTTGATTCTACAGAGAAATAAAACAGAGAAATGTAATTAAAAATTAAATACTAAAAATGCAGCTTGACATGGGCCTGAACTAGTCCTGGCTTGAAATGTACTTTTTTTAGGTTGTTTTTGTTTTTGTTTTAAATATTTTTCAACAGTCAAGTTTCTGACTTGTACTATCACAATCTAATGGATTGAAATCAATCTGGGTATGAGTCTGAAAGGAAGCACATGTTGTTCCTTAGAGAAGGATTTGTAGTGAAGCATCTCCCATGGGCTACAGTGTGCTCAGACTTTTTAGGCTCCATAAGTTCATGGCAAAAGGATTACCGGCTGTAGCAAATATTGCTTTCCTTTGCTGCAAAAGCCACCCACTTCAGCTGCAACTCCTTTCATCCTTTCTGTTTCTCCATTCAGCTTGGGTAGAATGTGGAGCTGACCACATGCTGTGGACAATGGGGAAGGAAGAGATATAGAAAATTGTTGTCAATGACTTTTACTGCTGTTCCCACCACAAGCTCCACGCAGCTGTCACCACACTGTCTTCAAAACTCCTCAGCCAGTGCATACTCACCCAGAAATCCTGAGCCCAGGAGCCTCAGCTCCACACCCCAGTGCCCTCTGACCCCCAGTGCCCTGCTCTCCTGCTCAGCTCTGCTCTCAGAAGGTGCCAGTCTCTAGGTCTTGCAGTTTAGACACACACCTTCTCCCGAGTCAAGGGGCATGTGAGCCTAGATGTGCCTCTACAGTCAGTTCCAGTTCTCAGTTCTGAGCACCTGGACTGAGCCTAGTGCTCCTTCTGCCACTTCCACTTCCCTCTCAAACCTCTGGAAAGCAGCCTTAATTTTCTCTTCCTTACAGGCACAGCAGCCTCAATCACAGCTTTTACTAGAACCTGTGGAATTCCTGCTAAACATGTTAGAGATGTGGTCGATCCATCCCTGCCTGCTGTTGGTGTGGCACTGGACACAGAGAGCCCTCATACCCATGGGAAAGGGGGCACATCATTTCAAGAACCCTATTGTCTGTCTAACCTGTGGGACTGTCCATGTTGGCATCTGGGTATCCCTGAACACTGCCAGGGACAGGAGGCTGAACACTGACAGGGACAGGGGAGTGAACACTGAACACTGACAGGGACAGGGGCTGAACACTGACAGGGACAGGGTGCTGGCTGACTGCTAACAAAGCCCAGCTCCTCAATGACACTGCAAAGCCTCCTGGCTCTCTGTACACTGTGTAACATCATACAGCTGGCACAGTTGGCTTTTAGGACCTACTATCAATGAAGCTGCTTTGAAGCACCAGGTAAATGAAGAATTTCACCCTGGCTAGACCATGAGGTCATGAAAGGAGTGAGGAGCCTCCCACCTTGACCATCCAATGGAAGATGGCCCCCAGCACAGCAGTTGCTGCACGAGACACAGTGCAAGGGCTGTTCCAGTTTGAGGCAATCTGGCACCAAGGGGAAGTGTAAATCCTGGGGTCATTAGTGCTGCAGTCCCGTGGCTGCTCTGTACCCTCAGCAGACCTGAGGTCAGCAGACCATTCCCACACGGAGAGGGAAAATACAACGCCCTTCCAAAGTGGTTGGCTGTGGGGTTTGCTCTGAGCCCCTCACCTTGCTCCTGGCAGAGCTCTCTCACACAACAGGCTCCAGCCCTTTCCTGGACACCACTCCTCCTTTTTTATCTAATGCAAAGTTTTGGCCATGGAATGCGGACAGAAGGAATCCACACTGCCTGCAGGTACCAAGAGTCACTGGCCAATCTGAAATTTGGCCATGGTACTCACTGGAACATAACAGCTGCTCTTGGCCAGGAGGCTCCTGGGATTTAAATTATTGTACTGCACTTGTGGAAAAAAATAAAACAATGCCTCTGGCAGATCACAGCTGTACCCTGCCAGGAAGCTCTCGGGAGGTTAATTCCGAGGGAGGGTATTCCCCATCATAATGTGTTCCTAAAATGGGACTGAAATTGTATGTCCTATAAAACCAGAGAAACCTACAGCCATTTTTCAGGAAGAATTCAGTGATTTTTGACTGCTTAAGACACCTCAGTGGTGAGATTAAAGTCACTGTACTGTGACTCTACATCCAGAACTGGGAAATGTATTTGCCCCAATAATCAGACGAAGAAAAGCAACTAGAAAAGGCTTGTGTAGTCATAAATATTTTTTTCTGTGCAATTAACTATACACCTTCAAATCAGAAAAGTTGGTGATAATAAGATTATTCATGATTTAATATTCACACATAGGTATTTATCTATCTTCAGTCTTTGTGAAATAAAAATGATGATCCCATTTTCCCACCTAGGAAAACTGTGGAGCACATACAGTCTGTCCAACTGTACTGACTTCCCCAGCTGTTTCCTACCAACACCATCAAATATGCAAGCACATGGAGAGTACCACTTTGGGGCTTTTATCTTTTAACTGGGTTGCACATTTCAGCTGGAATACCTGCTTCTTTCACTGTTGGGTTCTTAAAAAGCAAAGAGCCCCATTCACCTCTGTAACATGAACTCTCTGCACTGAATTCCCTTCATTGTTATAAATCCAGAGCAAACCTCTGTTGATTTGGTTTACGTTTCCAGCACCATAAATGGAGGACAATTTTGTTTGTTGAGTATAAACTGAGAAGACAGTAAATCAAAGCATTCTCTGCTCACAATAGGTATTCGAGAAACCTTTTGGGCTGAAACATTACTTTGCTAAGACCTGTTCAGTAGCCTCCATATCAGATTTCCCTATCCAGCTGTCCAGAGGCCCATTAGTGCCTCTCACCATTATCAGGCTCACTCTATAATTAGAACAGCTTAGGCTTTACTTGGGCCTTTTTCAAACCCAGATTTCCCTCCCAGCCGTAGCTGTCATTCAGAAGTACATGAATAGTACCTTTCAAAGTAATTTCAATTTTACATTATTTTGTGACAAGCAGGAATAAATGGCATTTAAATCAGCAGAGCAGCTCTTTGCATTAAATGATAAATGATAAACACGTTACTTACCCCGAGTGAGATGTTCTCATCTGGCATCTGATTTTGCTCAGACAGGCCCCGAGTCCTTCTCCTTTCCCAGTGACAGTCTTTATCTGCCTCTTCTGTCTGACACAGACCAGCCTGCACTTGCAGGCTTTCTGTCTCCCTGGGAGTCTGTGTTGAGAGCACACCTTCCTGCCTGGGAGACGCAGCGCTGGATTCCCTGCCCTCTGCTGCAGCCTGGAAAGACTGTCCTATAGTACTCACATATCTGCAAAGCTCTATAGGGTTTAACAACTTGAAAAGGTTTCTTCTCAGACTTTCTGTTAAGGTGCAGACAGTGTGCTGGGCGTTCTCCTTGGGCACGTCCCTGCCCCCCTGCTGCAGCAGCAGGGAGCTTTCCCCCAGCACGACCCGCTCGGGGCCGGGCTCCGTCATTGTCCCTGGAGCCTGATGTGTCCCAGCAGCTCCCGTGCCACTGGCAGAGGGGTCTGCCCCGGCAGGTGCAGGATCCGTGTGCTTTGCTTTCTCAGCTGAGGAACCTGCAGCCAGGTGACCACTTCCATTAGCCTCTTCTTCACTGCTGAGGGGTTCATTTCCAGCGGCTGCAGATGCAACAGGCACTTCACTCTTGTCCTTGTCTTTCAGACTGGTACTTTTGTCTCGGTGGTGTCCAACAGTGAGAGTCATCTCTGTCTGCAGAGTTGACTGGCTGTACATAGAGGGGTCTCTCCTTACATTTACTCCTTTGAATTTTGAGTGATGCCCACAGAAGCCAATGGGGGTATCCATAGGCGTAGTGTTATCTGACACTTGGAACACACAAGGCATTTCACTGAGGAAGTAAGCACACCCATCACAATCCTTACCCAGTTTTAGATCATCTTCATCATCGCTTTCTAATAAAAATTGTAATTTCTTTTTCCAGATTTCATCTTCACGCGCTGTCAGCACATCTGAACATTCAAAGTACTCCAGGTCATCATCAGAAAAGTCATCACTTACACTTGGAGTTTTCTCTGTATAAATCTCCAGAACAGTGGTAGGATTTGCAGAATCATCTTTGTCAAAATAAGTGGGATTTCCTATGGAAGTATCTGCCTGCTCACTTAGCAGGGAATTCATGGTTAGAGGACTGTCCAACCCAGTCTTTTTACACACCTGGACACCTGCCAGAGACTGACCAGATCCAGGGTGTTCCGTGTCAAGGCAACAGTTGTCTGTGTGACAAGTGGTTACATCTGTAGGGTGGGAAGGCAGCTGTGTGCTGCAGTATTCCTCTGCTCCTCCAGCAGTGACAGCCACCAGACCGTTCCAGTGAAGCAGGTCATCACCATTCTCTGACAAATGCCTTAGGCAGGCAATATTTCCCTGGGATTGAATCAGATTTTTTACATCCATGTTGTCTTCTGTGTTAGGCACGTGTCTGCGGGATTTCTCAAATGGGGACAAGACTTCTGCTTTGCAGAGCTCCTCGAGCAGTAAACGGATGATTTTAGGAGAGTCAGGACCTCGTGAAATCAGCATGGTTCACCCTCACAGGGTGAACTCCTGTGTTTTGTAAAATGTTTCCCATCTTGCTCATTTTACCCTGAGGTCTCCCATGCGCTCATTTAGGACAACAACAAATTCTGGGGAAGTTTTGTTCTTTGTATCCGGTTGCAGTTCAACACACGTCATTCTAGCTGTCAATAAAGTGCAGACCTTGCTCTGTGCACCTGCAAAGAAAAGAAACCCGAAGTTTAAAATTACTTCTGCAATGGGTATAGCTTTTTTCTAGAAGGTGGTCGATTGACACACACTTGCAAGCATTTTCGGAAAAAGAAACCATTATTTAAAAGCCAAGGTCAGACATTAAAGCAGTAACCCTAACCCCGCTGTCTGTGCAATGACAACTAAAGGCAACACACTGCAACTGCCTGCAGTGACCTGTGGCACTGGCACAACAGCAGGCTGTTCCTTCAACTGGCATCATAGGGACATCAATTCCAAACCCTGCTTGTAGAAATACATGGAACAATCAGTCTGGTTAGATTTCATAAGGTTATTTCTCTTTTAAGCAATTTTATTGCACTTGGGCTTGATGTTTGTCATTTTGGTTTGTCATGAGGTTGGTTGGCTTCAGCTTCTGCTCCTGTCAAGTCTGACTCTCCAACAGCTGTGGCAGTCACCTGGGTGGGGAAAAGCAGGAGGCAAAGGTGGTTAAGGGGAAGGACACGAGAAGGGACAGTGTTGGGTTGTGTGACAAACACTTTGACTGCATGTGCACCAAGGAGCACAGACAAACAGCACCTGGCAACCAGACCAGCCTTTCAGAGCTCTGGTCACATTTTGCTTTCCATTTCAACTCTAAGGAATATAAATAATTAACAGAACAAAAATGGAGCAGCAGGGAGTAATCTTTTCCTCATCCGTTTTATTACAGTGCCATGGAATTACCCTCCAGCATTCAGCCATCCCCTCTTAAATATGCATTGGCCTAATGTTCCCTGTTGCACTCTTTTAACTCTGCTCTCATCTTTGCTTTGCAGAAGACCAGATGTCTCTTTCCTCTTTTTCGGGGGGTGTAAGTTATTTTAAAAGCATGGTAATTTCCCCTGCTGAAAAGAGCTATGGCAACATGTTATTACTACAGATTGACTCATGAAGGGCCTTTGCTAAAGCCATTGTACTACACAGTTATCACTGTCTCAGTTCAGCAGCTCTTTGACACTGAGGGGAAAAGAGCTGGCAGATTTCTCCAGATGACAACTGGATTGGATTGTCATACACTGTCAGGTCCAACCACAGAAATGAAAGCAAAAGAACGTTCCAGGAGGAAAACTGCAAAGAGATTTTTTTTTTTTTAAATCTGGGGAGAAGATAGAAGATATTAGATTTTTAAAAATTCGATTACTGAATTCAGATAGAAACTGAAAAGAGAACTGCTAGTATGACAGCCTCTCAGCTCCTCAGGGAAACAAATAGGGGTGTTGCAGCTGCTTGTCTCAAGTCCTGCTCTGGACACCAGTGATGTTATTTGCTGAACTGGGGCCTGGCTCATGACAGGAGACAGTGAAGCACAGCTTTGGAGGAGGAATTAAAACATCAGGGGTTAGCAGGTGATGGTAGGAAAGATGCCTATTTTGGATCTCTAATGGTCTGTAAATATATTTTCCATCTCTTACTGATCAGAACCACGGCACTTGTTGGGGAGTTTTTATGGTACCCCTTGAGGCAAATCAAACACACGTGTGTGCTCAGCAGGTTCTGAGGAGAAGGGAGAACACGCTTTTCCATTTAAAATTCATGCTTCATCATAATCCCACACTGCTTGTGAAAAACCTATTCGCTGCTCATATGAAAATATTGTCTGAAATTCCAACTCTAAATACAAAATTTGACTGCTCAAACTTATTTTCATTAAAATGCCAACATTTTTCCCAATTTGAAACTTATTTTTATATGTTATTAAAAAGGTTCAATATTTTATCATTTATTCCAATTGAGAACAAAATATTTTTGAAGAATCACACTTTAACATGGAAGGAACAACACTTAAACAAGGGGTTTTTTTAGTAACAGCCATTTTGCATGTAGTTTCGGGCACAAAGCCACTTCTGTTGATTTCAGAAGGAGCTGCAGGCTTAATCCCAATGTCACCAAAGAGAAAAAAAATTACTGACAAAACTATACAAATTTGATTAAATGTAAGAAATGGCTATTAATTTTCCTTTCTCACATCGCATTTTTCCCTAATTTATTTAGTTATAACCAAAACACAAATCTTCCTTCGTAGGCAATTTTATAGTCATGGAAATTATTTCTACAGAAAGCCTGTGCATTGTACCAGTCCAGTAGTGAATTTGTGTCTTTCTGTGAGGTTCATGTCCTCCAGAGTGGGTGGAAAGAGTCCCCTTTATGGCCTCTCAGCAGTTTCTTCTGTTCTTTGCTGTCTATTCATCATGCAATCTCAGTTCTGTGCAGCCCTACTCAGCCCACACCCTTATTCAATAGGATTCCTTCCTATCTCTCAGCTGCACTTGCTCTAAGGAAGTGCAGAAGGATCTGCCTGTCCACCCCCAGGAACTGGCTCCCCTTATCACCACCTCCAGCTCCAGGACCCTCCTGCGCACTCCCACGGCACAATGGGCACCTGATCTGTGCCCACCCCTCGATCCACGGCACAATGGGCACCTGATCTGTGCCCACCCCTGGATGGAAACGTGCCATGACCCCCAAAGGCCCCCTGGCACCCGCCTCACACCCACGGCAGCACAAGGGAGTGGGAAGGGAGAGCCTGGGTGAGCCCACACAGGGCTATCTCAGCGGAACACCCCGGGCAGTGACACTGATAATTGCCCAGTGTTTCACATTCAGAGACATCCTTTCACAGCTGACACTTTGGTGTCTTTACACCGAGTTGACACGGGGCCAGGGGTACCTGAACACAGAGGGAGAGCCCCATAACCACCCTGTGCCTCAGAGCACACGGGCCATGGCTGCAGGAACTGCTCTGCCCCAGCCACACCAAGTCTGGCAGATCCCTTGGCCTTAACTGTCAAGGATTAACTTTCACCAAACTCTGGCACTCAGAAGCCCAGTCTTTCTTCTCTGTACACACGTGCCCATGAGGAGGATGGGGATGTGAGTGTAATGCAGTCTGCTCCCCTGTTCCTGCAGCACTTCTCCAGCAGATCCTGGTTACAAAGTCACTGGAGTATTTGGAGGTGTGCTTTGTTTTTTGTTCTGAGCTTCTTGGTCTGAGACAATTAACTCCCCAACTGCCAGCACAGTTTCCTACTATCACCTCCACTCCACTGGCCAAACTTTGGGATCCGGATTTGTTCTTTTGCAAAACAATTCTTATCCCCTAGACTATCCTACCAAATGTTAGATTTAGCAACAGCTGCTTCTCCACGTGCCTGGCATATCATATACATTTCCATACCTCCCTTTAGAGAAATGTTACATTGGCAGGTAGCTAAACCACAAAGAAAGATGGTGGGTACAATTAGGCTTCACATAAGATAAACATGAAAAATCTCCAAACCAAACCACTAACAACCACAGAACCTTTCTTTAAGAGCAACAGAAATGGTCATACATTATGCAGATCCAACCAGAAAGCTCGCTGGCACGGACAGCAGGATTTCAGAAATATTGATTAAAGGGACAGAAAGCAGCAAAAGCAGAACAGAAACAAAAAAAAAAAAAAAAAAAAGCAGAAAGGAATCTCCACTAGCCACAGGATCCCAAGGAAAGTCTCAAACCTCATGGATCCTTTGCAGAAATCACTGCAGTGACCTCACAGATCCTTCCCAAAATGACCAACTACAGCTCCGTGTGTATAACACACACCCTGCCACCTGGGAAATCTCAGTGTCGTGCTCCAGTGCCGTTATATTCCAAGGTTAATGCTAATTCCCTTCCCACTCTCCCTGGAAATATTTCTCAAATATGCCTTAACTCTCCTGCAGAGCGCTTGCATATGGTTTGTATGGCTGCAACACTCCTCTAAGAAACCAACAGCTGTAATTCCATCCAATCCATGTTCCCACCCTGCCAACCATTTTATATTTGGGAATATACACATTTTTTTTTAGTTCCTCATACAGGGCACCTCTCAAAAGAGATTTTTTTACGTTTAACAGTTTTCTTCTTCCAAAGCAGAACAAAACATAGACTTTTCCAGTTATGCAATAAACACAGACATTACAGACCCATTTACATTTCTTAAGTGAGGTATTATATTCCCTGCATGGAAACACATACAATATATTTATGATCAGAAACATACAACTTGACTTTTAAAAAAAAGCTTCCCATGAATGGTTTGTTGTATTTAAATGCTTATTCTCACGTTCTCTCTTTAAGCTTTTTCTTTAAAAGAAATCAAAGTAACAAACAGTAACTAAAACCACATTATTCTTCTATAAATCCTTTGAGACACCGCAATCACATTGAACACTCAGAGCAGCATATTTGTCAAGGAGTGCACACTGTCAGAAATCAAACCAGAAAAACCACTGCATTACCTAAACCAACTATCACCAAAATATGTCTTTGCCAAAAATACTGTGATATGTTGTGGTTCTTCAACTGCCAGCATCCGAGACTTTTGGACAACTTTCCTGTTTTAGTGCCCCACCCACCGTGAACAGCCCCACGGTATAAAAACACCTCAGCTACAATTCACTGGCTAAGTGCAATAATAAATGACTGGCTCTGCATGCCTCTAACAAAGACCTTAACATGGAGTAATTAAAATAAGCAATCACAGCACAACTCTTCACACTGATCTGTCTTAATCTATTTTTAACATCTGCCAAGCATCTGACCCTGTCGGATTGAGCAATTCATGCAGCCTGAGAATCATCTATTTCTGCTAAGTGACCAGATTTTTTTCTCAGCAATGGAAGAAAATTTTTACCTACAGAGTATTAGAACACGCAATATATATTTAGAACAAATAAAATGCATTTTTCAGGATACCTGGTATCACTTACACATTCTTCAGAGAAGGAAGCTTGTTTTCATATGATTTTTGCAAGTTTATATTGCTGAGACTCGGTGGAAATAGTACCCGTGTAATTCTAGAAACATTGAGCAGAATTCTAGATGCAGTGTATTTTTAAAAAAATCAGTCTATCAAGATATGGAAAAATTACTATTCTTTAGCAGAAGCAAATAACAAATCCTATTTCCTGTTCAATAACACTACAAATCACTACAGTCGTGTAATGCCTTAAGGATAACGTCACTTGCCCTTATTCCTTTACTGTCTGTTACAATTCCCAGGAGCAAAAAGCAGTTTGCAGTACAATCCCCCTGCCCCCCGAGCCCCCAGACACACACTTACCCGCAGGGCCCTTCCTGGGCATTCTAGCAGCAGGCTGGGCCTGGGCTGGGACCTGGTGCTGCAGGACAAAGGAGGCTGCCTTCGTGCATGTTGCTGGGAGCTGGGAAGCAGCCGCCGGCTTCGGGGGTGTTCTGCTGCTGTGACCTCAGGGTACGGAGCCTGATCCCTCAACAGGTTGACTTTTAAGAGGGACGATTTCATTACATGCAGCAGATGGCCCTTCCTGAGAAAACCTCCACCAGACAGGGAGTTGGCAGTGAGGAGAGGGCACATCCTACTGCCATAGAAGTCCACAGGAATTTCCTCGTGGCTGAGAGAGAGAGGAAGTGTTGGCCTTAGCTTTTCATACTAAACACTGGATTGTTTTTTGGAGAGTGTGCCTAACTGCTCTGCTAGGCACCTCGGGAACTTCTTACTTGCTGGAGGTTAAGCACACAAAAGTTCTGCTGAGCATGAGAAAACCCACAGTGCCTAGCAAGCAGGCTGAGGAGATCAAAGGTGGACAGTGGACTTTTAACAATCACTACACAGAAATTCACCTGTGATTCACATCCCTCAAAGGCAAAAAGGTGAATCCTGAAGTAAGGAAGTATTCCCACTCCTGTTACCCAAGGAGCCAAGTCTCACACAGGAGGAACTTCAATGAATTGCACAAACTGCTCTGAGCTCAAAGGACCTGGAAAAGGCTGAAAAGCAAGTTTTGTGCCAGGATTTTTTTAAAGCATTTTGCAATAATGGCAGCTAAAACTCGTTATGAGATACTACCGTGCTAAATACTTCTTGCTCCCAGTGTTATCTAGACCCAGATAGGAAACTGGTGTGTTCAGCAATAAATATAGCACCTCCAATCACCATCATTCAGGAATAGCAACAGGGATATCTGTTTTATGTAACAGTCTAATAGCCAAAATAACCCCCAAAGAAACGAGAGGCAGCCACATTTGTATCATAAAATAGTCTGGGTTGGAAGAGACCTTTAAGGGTCCTATATTCCACCTTCCACTAGACCAGATTGCACCAAGCCCCGTCCAACCTGGTCCTGAACACTTCCAGGGATGGGGTACCTAGCACCTCCCTGAACAACCTGAATGCTTGATCACTGATTAAAAGTGTTAGCAAAATTACTTTCTAAGGCACTTTCAGTCTACTTTGAGCAACTTGCAACTCCAGAGAGATAACAATTCCTTTCAGATCATTGCCCCACTCATCTGTCCATTAGCAGTGATGGAGAGCAGCCACGGGAACATCTCTTTGGGAGGCTCTTCCCAAGCCGTCCCTGCTCTCCCACGCTGAAGGACACAAGGTGCCTGAGCCTTAAGCTGCACCCCTGCCTGTGTGGACACTGGCGCAGGGTGGGAGGAAGCTGGGGCACGGAGAAGAATCCATGGCCGTGCCGGCTGCAGGTGGATGAGGCTGTTTCTCCTCAGAGCGCGACCCCTGCCCTCAGCGTTGTGTGCTTTTTGCCCGCCTTACGGCCCAGCTCCCGCCTCTCCAACCATGTCCGGCCTCCTCAGGGCCACCTGCGGACGCTGCAGGAGGTCTCGCCCTGAGGCAGACTCATAACGTTCCCATTTCAAAATGGGTGAAACAAAACAAAACCCGCTCGGTTCCCTCACAGTGTCCGCAGGGCCGGGGCGAGGGGGGGGCCGTCCTCCCTGCCTCCGCATGGCGGGGTCCCCTACAGGACGGGGCGGTCCGCGCTTCCCTCAGCCAGACCCGGGCCGGGGGCCGCCCCGGCTGCCGCTCCCCTCAGCGACGCGCCCGCCTCGCCCGGCTGTCCCGCTCCCCTCCAGCCGTCCCGCTCCCTCAGCCGAAACCGGGCCAGGCCGCCCCGGCTGCCACCGCTCCCACTCAGCGAACCGGTCGGGCCGCCCCGGCTGCCGCTCACTCAGCCGGACCCGCCCCGTTCGCCCCGCCCCGCTTGCCCCACTCCCTCAGCGGTCCGCCCGCCCCGTCCCGCCTCCCCCTCATCCGGACCGCGCCCCGCCCGCCGCTCTCCCCTGAGCGGCCCCGCCCGCCCCGCGGCGCTTCCTTCCGGGCCGCGTGGCGCTGCCGGCAAGCGATGGATGGGGTGCGGCGGGGCCGCTGCCCCTCGGTCCGCCTGGCAGAGCGCTGGCTCGCAGGCTCAGCGAGCTGCTGGACCGGGCGGCGCCCCGCGGCAAGGGCCTGGCGGGGAGCTGGCGCAGCGAGCGGGGAGCCGAGGCACGGTGCGGCTGAGGTAGGGAAGGGGGCGCGGGGAGCGGTGGGGAGCGCTGCCCCGCCGGAGCCGCGGTGTCACTGCGCGGGCCGGGACTTGGATGTTTGTATTCTCCTGTGAAACACGGTGAAGGTCCGTTTGATAAGTGACGGTATCTCGCCCCTAGGTTGGCGCGGCACTGCGGCTTAATGAAAGAAACGCTGATGAATCTCTTTAGTGGGGATACGTAAACTTGCATTCCCTTTCTGTAGCTGTCTTCGTGTCCTTATTATCTGAGTTCTTTGAGTCTGCTGTGGTTGGAAGTGCGTGAAGACTTTACAGTAAAGTTTAAACTGCGCTGCAGTGATGTGTGATTGGCTGGGCTGCACCACTCGCTTGTTCGAAAAACTCTAAAGTCAGCCTTCCTGCACTTTGAAGTTAGACACTGAGTTGCTCTTTACTGCTTCTGAATTAGGCACATGGAAATGATGGGTGCTGTACTAGTTTTTCTGCTGGTACCTTAAAAAGTGAAAATTAGACGGTTTCTCAGTACATTTGGTTAGACTTGTGAGGTACACGCATCTCTTACCTTGTAGCACACAAATAACTAATTCCAATTTCTGTCACTGTATAATTTCTGAACTCACGAAACTTGAAGGAAATACTGCAAATATGTCCAAATCAGCAAGGAATTTCCTATCTCTATTTTTTTAAGTCTTTTTGTTTGTCTACAATTGATTGTTAACCCAGCTCCTTTCTGAGCAAAAAGTGTTAAGAAGGTCTGTGCCATGTCCCTCTTTTGTTCCTCCGTAGCCCTTTGGATTTGGAGCAGTGTTCCCTCCAAGTGCTGGAGCCAGAAGGCAGTCCCAGCTGGAGTCTCCTGAAGCTGCTGGGAGATCGTGGGTGCACTGTGGTGGAGCTGGTGGAGTCCTTGCAGGCCCTGGAGCACACAGAGGCTCTCCAGTGTCTCGGCCATGCAGGTCAGTGCTGGGCCTGTGCTTTTGCTGCAGCTCTGGGTTGTACACTGGAAACACTCAGGTAGCTTGTTTTCTGCAGGAGCTAAAAACATCTTTAGTGCTTGAATTCTGGTAATTGGTATCCATATGATTATCAAGGTAATTGGCTCATCTGATTCTGAGATTAAAAGTAAGCCAAGTAGATAAACAGCCTTTGTACAGTGTTGTTGTGGACTTGAACTTGGCTGCATGGACATGCAGGGTGGACTTGTATTTGTTCCTAACTTTGCTATGTGTAAATTCTGTTTTAAAGGTATAAAGATTGTTGTACAGCCAGACTCTCAAGCAGTGCTCTCTGGTCAGGTGGTCAAGCTGTGTTGCTGGGCAACAGGACACCCATTTGTGCACTACCAGTGGTTCAAGCAGGAAAAAGAGGTAATAGTTGATAAACAGTGCAGGTTTTTGCAATAGTGAAAATAACAGGTAATGATTTTGGATGATACCTTTTTCTTTCTAAGATTCTTCCCCTTATTTACAATGAGAGAAGATTGCTGGATAGTGACCCTAGGAATCTGCTAAAACAATGTGGTGATTCCTTATATTCAAACCACTTCATCCCTGGGGGCTAATTTTGGAATGGGACAGAAAGGAAGCTGCAAGTTTAGTTGTCTCTCAGCTTAGCAATAAGTCTCAAGTATGTGAAGGAGTTGAGGCTGGTCTTATGGAAATAAATACTGTAGTGCTTGATCCTGGTTTAGATTAAACCAATCTAAATTTCAGTGGTTTTGGTTCACCTGTGATTCAGGTTCCCCATGGTGACTCTCCAGAGCTGGTTTTGAATCCAGTGAGTGTAAAGGATTCTGGCTTTTACATCTGTCGAGTGAACAGTGACTGTTCCTTCGTGTTCAGTCGGTGGGCACGCCTGGAGGTCTGTGAGCTCCGGGGTACATCTCATGGTGAGTGGCAGAACCACTGTCCTCCCACTTCCTAGAGGAACTTGGGCCTCTGTAGCTGTGCTTAGGTTGTCTCACCCTTTCTTTTCTTTTTTCTTCCTTTTTGTTTCTTTTAAGGGAGCGTGGTGGGTTTGCCTCAAAACAAATTGTGCATTTGTGTTCAGCCTCAGCCACAAAACCTGACAGTGGGGGATGCTTTGGTACTGGAATGTGGAGCTGTTGGAAACCCAATTCCTCATTACCAGTGGTTCAGAAATGGATTTCCCTTGGCAAATGGGAGCAAAAATGTCTACACAGTAAGTTACTGCAATGGGCCAGCCTTGGGGGCAGATGTGCAACCACCTTGAACTTATCACAGAAAGCTTTCTTGAAGAAAACAATTTCTCCATAGTCTTGATTAACCTCTGACAGAAGTGCTTGCTCCAAGTGCTTCTTTAGTTTTTACTTTTTCTTGCATGGGGGCTTAAATGCAAGGCTTGAATACCTGCTACAGGTGTTGTCTTGGGGTCTGTGGGGATGACTGGGATGATACTTGCACAGGTCACTTCTGTGGACGTGGAACATCAGGGGACATACTGGTGTCACGTATTCAACGACCACGAGGGTGAAGACAGCAAGAAGGTAGAAGTCATTATAGGTGAGGAGTTTTTGTGTTTGATACAGGACAGCTGAGGTTGTTCATTGCAAGCAGAATGAGTGAATAGAACATGTTTCAGGGTGTGTGCACGTGCATGTATTTTCAGGGAACTGAAGAGGAGCAGATCTCTGTATAGCTTCCAGATCTATCTGGGAATGCTAGTATGTACCTCACAAGTTCTTTCCTAACCTGAGGAATATCCTAGTGTAGTACTCCCAGGTTTCAGTGATTAGTGCTGTACAGTGCTGTGGTCAGTGCAGATTTGTACTGCTGTAAAGTGAGCCAGATTGCAGAGCAGCTTGACAGTGACCTTTGTCTCCCACCTCGTATGCTAACACTAATAACTGAGAGCACTTGTCTTCCAATTTTCCCCCTCCTTAAAACACAAGGAAGGAAAGCAGTGGCAGTGGAGTGCACAGAAGGTAAAGTAAACCTTTAGTTGTGAATCAGTTTTGAAAAGTCAGTGAGGGGACGATGGGTTGCTGAAAAGCATGTGTGGGTGAAGATCTTCAGTCTAGTTTAAGGCACTGATGCATGATGCAGTGCTCCTTTTGCATGTGCTTTTCTCTTCTTTGCCTGGATGCCAGGATCTAGAGTACAGGAGAAAAACCAGGCTGCTTTCTCCTGTGCTATTCAAATGAATGTAAAGATCTGGAGAGGTTTTTGGCTGGGCTCAGGAGGCAACATCCTATCCAAGAAAATCTGGAGGTGTTTAGGAACAGCAGACCTGCTCTGAGACATCCCTGGGGCTTCAGACACAGTGGTTTCCTTTTCCATGGTTTCCAGTGCTCTCAGAATAAAGAGGTGAAACCTGTGGTAGCTTAGAATATTTCAAAATTGTGTCTGAAGTCTTTCTGAACACATGTGGCTTCCCAAAGTAAGATTTCTTGCTCAGGATGTTGCTTTTTCAGCAGTCTTTCAAGCATATCCTCTTCAAAGGGGTGATTCTGATACCTTGTTCCTTGCTCCTTCAAGCTGCCTGCATGCCTGTGGGATTGGAGCATAGGGAGTGTCCCTCCCTTGGTTTTTACTCTGCTGTGCTGTAATGCTGGTCTAGCATGGCTTTGTACATTGCTGGATTTTCTCTTCTCTGGGTGGAATAGACACGAAAGATTACATTTGCAGAAATGCAAAGCCAAAAGTATTTTAGAAAAGTAGCTTGTTTTCCATGTTCAGCTTTGATTATTAGTGGCATGACACTTACATTTTTACTAATAAAAATGTTGCTTTTGCTTATTGTTTAAATGATGATCTTATTGGTGTGTTTCTTTGCAGAAGATTT